ACTGTCCGAGCCCCCAAGGTCTGGAATAGCCTGCCATCAGAATTGGCTCAAGCACCTACTTTGAACACCTTTGAGACAAATTTGGATGTTTATCTTGCTGGGATCCTATGACCCCAGCTGACTTCCTGGGGCAGGGACTGGACTCGATCTTCCAAGGTCCCTTCCAGCCCTAATATCTATGACATTTATTAACTCTATAGCTACATTAATGTATTTATATTGTAAATGGCAATCATATTGATTTGGAAGGACTTCTTTGAGGTGACTTTGTTGGATTTTTTGAAGGGCTCTTGACTGGAGTCTTCTCAGGAGTCTTGGCTCCAGGTTTTTCTAGAGTCTTGTCTACTTTCTTAAAGAAAGTTTCCAAGGAAGTTTGGACAGATGTTCTCCAGGGAGATGGGTGATGCAGCAAACTTGTTCACTGGCATGGCATGGCATCAGATCAAGTGTTGTAAAGTCAAAACTGCCATCAGAAAGTTGAAATGGGGTGTCAATTTATAAACCTCGTAAGTGCGAAACATTGTAACTCGAAACATTGTAAGGTGAAGACTACCTGTAGTTCAAATAATGTGCCCAGCTTCTTTAAGGTAACATTTTCAAAAATTGCCTACATGGTTCTGGGGCTCATTGACTCTCACTGACAATTAGGGTCTCAAGACCAGAAGGGTATATCTATACCACTTCTGCAAATGAGGTGAAACCACTCTCGAGGTGCACCCCTAACAGCCCCTTTCCAAGAGTTCCAAGAGTGTGCTTGAGGGCAGATGCAAGGGATGCTTCCAAGGCAGTTTCACTGCCCCATTTCTGGATTTGCTGTGTGCAGAGCAGGTACTGGTGGTCAGGACATGTCTGAAAGCTGTGTTTCTGGAAACAATATAGATATATGCCAAGTCACTTTTTAATACTGGTCTCTGGTCCTGAGCTCCTTTGGAAAATTCTATCCTCCTTGTAAACAAAGCAGGATCTATATTATCAAGTATCAGTGGCTGTATCTACACATTGCTGTGCGGCAATGTTGTTATTGCACCGTGTTTTAGTACAAAAACATGGAAGTAATTGCTTGTACTGTGCTGTATGGGCAGCATACAGGAAGATTTCCCCACTACATCACCATAGCGGTACACTGTAAGTGGGGAGAGCGCCACTACAGTAACATAGCTAGTGATCATGTGTAGATGCACCCAGTATGGCATACAGCATAAGAGCACAGAAAATTAGCATCTCAGCAAAACTAAAAAGGATGTGTGTTGGCAAATAGAATCTACTAGAATTCTAGAATTTTACAAATAGGGTAAAGAAGGCTGAGTGATTTTTTTATTTCTGCCCTAGTTTCTCCCACTTTAATTCTTATTTGCTAGTCAAGAAATATCCTGGGGAACAGAAGTAGCTAGAATTGGAGGATCACAAAGTACATCAGAGAGTGAATTTCTAATTTCTTATCTCTGTATGCAGCAACTGCAAACAGTTTCATGGTTCACTTTGTCCAGAGATGAATGAGTGTGATTGTGTGCAAGTGAGAAATAGATAACTCCATGACACTTTTACATGATTAACCAAGATTGTACAAGCCTTCACAGATATCAGTGTAGCATGATGCTGTTCAGTACTGAATCAATTGACTCTTCCAGATACCACCTGGCATCCTTTCTTCATGCTGTTTTCCTTCAAATGAGAAACAGAATGGTCTCAGGAATTTGTAAAGGAAGAAAGATTTCTCTTTCAGTTTAATGTTATTTTATTCTGTGACATCTGCAAAAAGAAAGTAATCCAAAATTGTTGGATATATTTATACGAGATACTTTCACTGGTCATAGCCAATGATCAGTAGCAAACACAAACACTGAAAAAATGAAACAAATCTCTTCATTTGATCAAAACCTCTCAGAATCTCTTCTCTTCATCAAAATTAAAGGTAGGGATTTGTAAATGTGATTCTTGAGAAATTTTTAGAAAATGGAAGGCCTTTCTCACCCTCCTTCATCCATTACTAGAGATGAGTAAGATGTATTTTAAAAATGTAACTAAAGGAGAAAGAAAAATTTTGCAGGAGCGATTGTTGATGAATACATATTGAATTCAACAATCAATGAATATGTGTAAAGAAAAAAATGAAAATAAGCATTGTATATTAATCCGACTGAAGCAGATGAAGATTATAAAGAATTAATATGTAATCTTAATTAAGATAGGGTAATAATATTTGTTTTGGGAATATTCTTGTGGTGGTTAACCTAATCTGGTTGCTGATGTTCTGATGTTCAACTTTATATCTTGATAAATATTTTTGTGTTATTTCACATTAGCAATGAGTGGTCTAAAACCAAAAATGAATACAAAAAAATGCATTTTATATTTGAGAGTGATAGCTATTCAGATTTTCTCCAGGTTAAATAGAAATTCAGGTAACTAACCTAGAAATTGTTAGAGACTTCCAAATTGCATGCATTTAATTTTGAGGTTATCTTTACCTTATATTTCCCATTTGTATTAGTAAGCTTTAGTTCTGTCATTGGATTTCCATCCCTGGCAATTTTCAAGAGCAAATTAAATAGAAGCTTGACTGGGTTGGTTTAGTAAGAGATAAACCTGGACTGAGCAGAGGCTGGACTAGATGATCACATGAACTCCCTTCCAGCCCTGCTTTCCTGTGATCCTATAACTGATATAATACCTTGTGTTATTTTTGGGAAGGAAGAATGCTGATTAGACTTATAGCTTGCCTAAAGAATACCTAATAAATGCTTTTCAATTTTAAAGGGAATTGAATGAATTATTATTATTGAAGAATGAAGGCCCACCTTCAGATTTCTCTTTTTCCCTCTGGCAGTATGTAAATAAAAACCTGTAGCACCATAATACATCCATTTCTTATACTACTTTAAGTTTAAGAGGACAATTATGAGATCTTGGTTGTGAAAGAGAATGCAATGTTAAATGCTATTGTTTTAAAATACAATTTTTATTATCTTTAGGCACCCAGATGACACATTTTAAATAAAAATATGGGCTAAAATATTATTCAGTTTCTTAAGAACTTTGCCTGTTAGGGAATTATCATGACATACAACTGCTGTAGATAAAGCTGGTATAACATATCTATGGAATTACACAATGTATCTTTGCCACAGGGCACATCTCCATGTGCATTTGCTGTGGCACCAGTTTACTCATGAATAAATGGTGCCAGGCAGATGTCTGTGCAGGGAAGCTGGAGCAGATTTACTGCCAATCTGCTTCTGCTTCCAGGGGCCCTGCAATGGGCCCCTGCCAGTGCCAGGGGGAGCTCCAGGCTTCAGCAGCAGCTGCCACTAACTGGCAGCCCTTTTGAAAGGCAGCCCTGCTCACTACTTTCTGGCCAGCCACTGCTTTGGGTAGGAGCAGCGTGTGCAGTGCAAGGACAGCATGCGACAGTGCTCTTCTCACTGCCTCTGCCTCCCCATGTTATGGCTACTCCTACCCCTACCCCTACCCCTGGCAGTGCCCCATGCTCCTGGCCTCCACACTGGTCCTCCTGGCCCACTGCATCGACTGCCACCTGACCCATGGCTGTCTCACCCCTCCTGGCTCCTCCATGTGCAGTGACTGCCTGTCTGCCTGCCATGTACCCCCCGCCCCCAGGGCTGCCGCTATGCACCTGCAGCCTCTACCCTGTCCACCTACCTGGACCCTACCAGGGATGCCAGTGATGGGTTCTAGGATGCCACCACCGGGGCTGCCCTTGTCCTCCTGGGTCTCCAGCCCTGCAGCCTCTGGAAATATGAAGTATCTCTATTTTTTAAGTGATACATAGATTTTACTTATTTAACACAATAGAACATTTGCATAAAAATATAGTAAAAGACCTGTCTGAAAAGCTATTTGGATTTTCTTCATTTTCAGTAAATGTTAGAACACTGGGGAAGTTCCAGAGGACTGCAAGAAGACTAATGTTGTGCCAATTTAAAAAAAAAAATAGAATAAGCAGGAGTAATTACTGACCTGACAGACCTGACATTGATCCTAAGGAAAATAATGGATTGGCTGATTTAGGCCTGGATTCCTAACAAATTCAAAGAGAACAAAGTAGGCAAAGCCAAACAACATAAGTTTTATAGAAAATAGATCTTGTTAGAATAACTGGATATGATTGTTATGACTTTATTAGTTGGGTAGTTAAAGGTAACAGACTGCTGCAAAGTGTATTTGTTATAGCGCATTATCTTGATTAATAAACAAGACTGATACAAAATTATTGTAGTACACATTTAAAGGTGTAAGAATTACTTAGATATTATGCATATGTCCTACATGGGTACAAGTGTACACTATTAGGCATGGTGTCCACTATGCCAAGTTATACGTTACTCTTACCTATCCTATGTTAACTTTTTTAATTTTAGTAATCATTTTAATTTAAAACCTGAATAATCATGAAAAGATTAATGTAGGATTTTACACTTCCTGCTGCAGAAGTAAAATGAGAACCAGCAGCCCCTTTTTAATAGCAAAGATTCATCGGTGCTTAACAATGAAGTTATGCAATGGCTCTAAAGCTCTGTGGGATAGGTGGCTCGTCCAATTGAAAGCAAAAGACTGCCAAATCCCTGTGTTTTGACTCCTAGAAATTCCTTGTCAGTTGGTTTATGTTTCTAATCTGAAAGTCCCTAAAAATATTCCAGTAGCTGTTTTCTATTAATGAAGAATTTAAAGCCTTTGTGGTATTTATGGTGAAAAGAACCAGTAGTGCATTTTCACTCTTTCTAGTTTTTTATTTTGTTTACAACCAGAGGAATTATTAGTGTTTTCACTGGTTTTTATAACATCTGGGAAAAATATTGAAATGTCACTGCTGTAGTGTATTAGTAGAATAAGACAAGTATTTTGGAAGGTTACTTCTTAGTAGAAATGTATTATTTGTGGCCTTATCAGTAACTTGAATGGCATCAATTTGAAATATTAAATGTAGATTTAAATTTGCAGTTCTTGCCATCTTAATAGTAACAAATACATTTTTTTTACAGCCAACAATCACCTGAAGACCTTGCAAGAGTACCTGTTAATTCTACCAGCAATATCTTGAACAGGCTATTGGTCACTTATGATCCCAGGATAAGACCAAATTTCAAAGGTTTGTCACATATTAGACATTTTCTATCATTTGAAGTTAACGTTTCTTTTTCTCTTATTCACAAACAGAAAGTCAGTGCCAACTAGATTTCTAAAAAAATTATGTAGGATCACGTTTCTGAAAAGGGTGTGAAATTGTTGAGATGCACATACCCTTTTCAGCTGATGGATGTTCCATGATGCTGATAATGCATAGAGTATGTAGGGTGATATCTTAAAGTTTTAATGTAATTCCTTTGTAATATTAATGAAATTATATAGGTTTTAGGAAAGATTTTTATTTAGTGTTTAAATATGGTTTTCAGTTTTAAGTATCTTTTTACGTACTAAACAGTTTTACTGACTTTTTATGTAGGTCATTTTCAGTCATCTTGCTTTAGGATGTGGGATGTACAGAATTAGTAGTTCCAAAATCAGACAGAAATTAGATGGGTGCAATTCTTTTAAATATATGTTGACAAACATTATTGATATACTTTTGAATTGCATCTGGTTCATGTGTTTATGTATGTTTTTCAATATACGGCTTTTTTTTTTCTCAAAACAAGTGAATTTTGTTCCCTGTTGGCAAATATAACTCCTTTCTACTTAAAGTAATTAATGGACTACATGTTTTCTACAAAATATCTAATAATTCACACAACTGCAACATAAGCACTCCAAGAATGAGATTCTTTTCCCCTGAGAAAGTGTAAACAAATTTATTATCCGTTCTTATATTGCAGTTTGTAACAGTGACATTTGCTCAGCTAAAAATTAACTATATATGTGTGCGTGTGTTTGTATGCTTGTGTGGAAATATAATCATAATACACACATATGAGAAAGCTACTCTAGAGAGCTATAATCTTGATTATCTTTCTGAGTAGACTTTTACCAATTTGCCATTATCAGCCACAGGATTAAAGCTTACCAAATTTTTCATTTATTTTATGCTGCCAGTCTTAAAAAAATATCAAGACTGAGGAAAAAGAAGACAACTGTTACATCAGTGTTTAGGAAAGTGGAAGAAGAAAAAAAAGAATATTTTTAACAAGTGATTACCCACATTAAAATATTTCTCAGCCGTGACTGATTTTCTTGGCCAGCATTTTGTGTCCAAACCTTTCAGGGACTGAAGTAATTTGGAGTATAGAGCATTCTTGTACTTGCAGAAGTTCTCAGTACAGCATAGCATCAATCCTATGCATAACATGGAAACCAGGCTTTCACTGGTCAGTGCTAGTAAGAAATAGCAACACTAAACATTAAATAGAATGCATATTTCTGTAATTGAGTACAGTGTACAGTCATCTCAGTGACTTGCAAGTGAATTTACAAAATTACAACATTGAACCTGATAAACTTAGTGCACAATCAAACCATAAGATGGTGTATATATTGCTTTTTCATGAATTTAATTCCTGAACAAATAGTCTGACTCTGATCTCAGTGGGGAGTTAGAGGCTGTATAAAAGAGCAATATAAAAACCTGCCATGTGCTGGCCCCAGCAATATAAAAACCTGCCCTGGTGAGCAGCTATTTGCCCTCAGGAGCTTCTGAGGCCCGGCCACTTGGTATCTGGGAACACTATCCCTTGTGCCAGCTGGATTGCTGAATGAGCCCTAACCTGGAGTGACCCCTGCACCCTCTACCCACTGCAGCAGTCTGGCAGTGGGGGCTGGTGCCTGGCTGTGATCTGCTGCCACCTGTAGCAGCATCTGCCCCCTTGGACCTGTTGCCCTATGGATGCGCCCCTGCCAGATGCAGATGGGGTGCCTCTGTTTTGCCAACTGGGCAACTATCGCCCAGAAGATGTGCTCCTTGTGGTGGCCTGCTTTGAACTATCAAAGCGTGTCCTCTTGGCCCCAAATGGAGCCACCCCACCCCCCTGCAGGGCCCACAGCTCCCCCCATAGAGCCACAGCCCCCCTATAGGGCCACAGCTTCCCCCTACAGGGCCATAGCCCTCCATAGGGCTCACATGCACCCCTGCGGGGCACACATGCCCCCCCTGCAAACCCACATGCACCCCACCATACAGGCCACATACCCCCCATAGAACACACATATCCCACCTTCAAGGCCCACATGCTCCCCACATATGGCCCACAGCCCCCCCCCCACAGCATCAGTGACCATCTAGGCACTCAGGGCCCTCCTGGCATCCCCCCCACCCATGGTGCAGAGATGCATGGCTCAGCCCCAGCCCCAGCTGCCTGCCACCTGGCGCTGCCTGTGTCACATTGTGCGGGCCCAGCCCAGCTCAACGTGAGGCCATGTGCCTTCAGGCAGGTCTGGGCCACTTGAGCTGTCACTCAGGGTTCAGTGCTGCTCTCAGGGACCATATGTCATGCTAGGCCGAGTCCTGCCTCCGTGGAACTGGCCCGGCCTGATGGCACATGGGGCCTCTGCATGTACATGTGGGCTCGTCTGGATGCACCCTTTGTGTGTGTATGGGGGAGCAAATCTTAGACGAGTCTGTGTGTGCTGAACTTTTGTTTTGTTATGGGTATAGACCAGTTTTTAATCACTTATGCTGGTAAAAGTATAATGTCCCTACCTGGCCTTAGGGCACAGTGAGCATGGTTGAAGAAGAAGCAGCAAAAGTAGAGCATGTCAATGCCCTGACAAATTTTGGTTTCTAGAATACCCTTTTGGCAAGCTGGAGTCTGCAAAGTAGAGAAGCCTTGTGCTAGGGGCTGATAAGCTGTAAATGGGGTACCTTTAGCCTCTACACAGACATACTTACACCATATGATAATAGAATAATTATGGGAATTGAAAAATGTACAAAGTGCACAAATGTTTTCTCTTTAAAGCTCTAGGCTAAGCAGTTGTTCTAGATTCTTATCAGTAACATGAAAATAATTCGTATAAGTCTCAGTTACTTCTAGTAACTGTAGAAGAATTAAATACCATTTCCACAGACCAGCAAATGCTTTTATTCATATTTACACAAAATGTACTTTGAAATTATCTGGCTTTGAAATGGCCTTTAGGTGAGTATAATTTATGTATAACTTAAGGACGCTCTTCTACTGCCAGGATGGTATACATTTTCACTAGTTCAGAAGAGGATTGCCCTAAATGTAGAACAATAGAGTTAACTTTTTTTCTTTTTTTTTTAGGGATTCCAGTTGATGTAGCGGTCAACATTTTCATTAACAGCTTTGGATCAATTCAGGAGACAACTATGGTAAGAGTATAATTTGATGAATATTTACATTTTAACTCATGCAAAATTTCTAATTAAATTCAATTGAAACTTAACCTTTTCTAAGCAGTGGATTATGATTTACACATATAAATGGTTACTTTGTTTATGCACAGACAGATTGGGATTTATTGAGGGACTGGCTATCTTTATGCCATAAAAATAGCTCTATCTGTTGTATTAGTTATTCATGAATAATTCAGTTCATTACTTTTTAGAGGATATGAATCTGAAAGCAAAAATTTATTTGAAAGATAAAAATAAAGGAATGCTGTTGGATTCTGAAAAGTGTGAAATATGGTTTTATTTTAATTAAGCTATTCAGTTCAGGAGGGGATAAGGTCTGTTAGCATGAAATTAGTGACCTCTTTCAGAGTAATTTTGTCGCTATTTGTACAGTTATTAAGGAGAGAGATTGGACTAGATAAGGGAAATAAGTGGCTGTACCAAATATAATACATAGTATATAAGTTATTTAATTTCTGCAGGAGCCTGAGGATATAAGTAAGTACTGTGGAAATATAGAAGAAAAAGTAGAGGAATAAAGTATCCATGCAGATTTGAGAACTCTTTCCTTTGTTTGTTATAAAAGATGCAAGATAGTAAACTGAGGACTACACAAGAATACTAAGGAGATACAGCAATCAGCTAAAGGGATAAAGTGAATGCTAAAGTTAGAGTTCAGTAATTGCCCATGTGAATATTCCCATTCAGGAATAAAGAGAGGTGGGAAACTCTTTTAATTTGAACTCAGGAAGAAGGTAAGACAGGGAAGCACCTTAAAAAATAAGTAGTTTAGGGGTAAAGTGATTTAAAAATACTTTATTCCTAAGTGAGTACATTCATGGTGACGATTAATTCATTTTGACTCGTGCAAAGTGATTTAACACCTGTAGTTGAATTGTTATACCATTTCTGAGCCCCATGTAAATGACCCTGTATAGCTGGGTTTTTTTTCTGACTGCCAAAATGAAAAGCACTCTGTTATGGACAAAAAGTACTAGGTCCAAAAAGGGTGCTTAGGAGCCTATCTAATGCCTATGTTTCTCTTGTGTAGCCCTCATTGAGGGTACCTAAATAGGCATTGGGTACTTCAATACTTCTCTGGACCTCGCCCCAACATTTTTGCCTGGTTTTGAGCAATATGTAGTATCTTAGTTCACATTGACAGAACTAATATGAACAACTGGCATTTCAGTTAGAAGAATTAGGAATTTTATTAGAGAATAGGGACTCTGTTTTTAAGGATTTTCCATTTTCTCCAGTCTGCTTCAGGCTTCTGTTCCTTGCTGGCTCCATTCCACTTGTTAGATTCAGATGCAATAAATATCAAGGCTAGCAATTTGGTATTTGGACAAGTACCTGTAACTTAAATACAGCACACTCTATATCTGAATCATAGAACGCACGGACCATTTTGACGGCTGCATTCCATTCCAAACTCGCATCTAATTTACTTTTCACTCTCACTTTTTACATTGTCTCTGTATACTGATTTCCAGATGTTTTTCTCTCAAGTTGAATATCTCATTTTGGATCACTTCCCCAGATCTATTACCTTGCATATTTAAAATATGAATCTTTTAATTTTGATAACATTTTAATAATTTTAAGTCCCATTTATATTATAATTCTTTCCTCAGTCATGTTTGCAGCTCTGCTAATATCCTGCAGGATTGCAGTTTTATCTCTGAATTTCATCAGTTTGCCTTTGTTTCCTCATCTCTGTCACTTTCTTCTACTTTGGCAATCCCTCACGGTCATGGGACAATCATGATTGTCTTCCATGATTATCTTATCTGTGGGTCTGAAGATGGCTGATGAGGCCAATCTGGGATCGACAGACTCTGCTGCAACCTGGGCATGTGTTTCTATGTAGGGTGGGTGACTTTGGATTCTTGATTCAGCCTGTGACATGCTGTTTCTGCCGCTTCCACTTTTCTGTCTCCTGTTCTCATTGTAAGGTTTCAAAGTACTGACATCCTTGCAGCAGACTCTTCCTCCATTTGGGGTGGGGTCCTGTCACTCTAGAGGACTGTATTCAAACAAGACTAATTATAACAGAAATACTAGTCATAATCCACTACATTCCACCCGCCTCAACTCTACACATTAAATTCTGATATCTTCAGTTATCATTTGGTAATAAATATTCAACTTGCTTAGAATCTATTAGAGAGTGCTATTTCAAATTATTTGTTAAAGCCAATCATGCATAACCTATCATTCGTCTATTGCTTTCATTTGGTAATTTTTATTGTCATATTTGTTCTGCAAGAGCTTAGCTTTTAACTCTTGTTATGCATTGCTAAAGTTGATCAGAAAATACACTTTGAGATTTTGACAGGAAAGAAAAGCAAAAATGTTTTTAATTAATATAAATTATTTTTTTTTAAATGTGGGTCAAACAAAATGTTTCACATCAATAATTTCAAAATGGCAGATTTTAATTTTTATTCTCTTATATTTCTATAGGATCAAGAATGCTTCAAAATGAAAAGTAATTTGACAACAAAAATACATTTTTCATTGTACAAGTATCAAAGATGGCATTTTGACATCTTTTTTTTCATTTTTTTCCTAAATGAAATTGTCAGAAAAAATAATCAAAATGGTTTGTATGGCACCTTAAATTTAACATGTGGCCAGCCTGACAATCAGCTGATTGTTGGTTCAGGCTGGGGACGCAATCAGAGTCTGAAACTAACCCCAGTGCAGTCCCCACTGTCCAACAACCAGCTGATTATTAGCTCAAGACAGAGAACACAGGGTCCCAAACTAGCCCCAGTTTGTGGTCCCTGCCTGGCCAACAATCAGCTGATTGTCATCTTTGGTTGGGGACCTCACTGGTGATGTTCCAACTAGGCTGACGGTCAGCTTCAGCCGGAGACTGCGCTGGGGTGCAAATGGGCTCCATTGCAGTCCCCACTGGGACAACAACCAGCTAATTGTCAGCCCTTGCTGCAGACCTGAGGGCACCCAGCTTTCAACTTCCTGGTTCATTGGTAGGTAGGGTACAATTAGGATCTGATCCCCTATCCCAAAATTGTACCTCCCACCGTGCATGTCTGGCATGGCAGGATGCACAATTGCTGGGATTGGGGAGCAGATCTCCTGGCTCATTTAAATGAATATCTGCCAGGGGCCTTACTCTTAATATCTTCCAACCTCTCTGGTAGTCTGTATCAGGGTAGCCATCCTCATAGTGAGAAGGTTCTTCCTAACATCCAACCTTAATTTCTGTTGTGACAGATGGGAATTCTGTGTTTGGCAGGAGGGAAAGAGTGGATCCAGGGAGATAAATCATAGAAGCAGATGGAAGTATTGTTGCTGGTATCTTTGATTAGTCAGGGAGCAGATGGATCCTTATTTTTCAAGTAGGTGCCTAGATCTAGGTGGAGAAGAGGTCTGTTGCTCCTAACAAAGAGAAGGTGGCCTAATATGCTTTCTCTGACCTTCTGGGAGAGTAAGAGTCCCTTCCCCCAGCCACAGCTATTGCGAGGCATGTTACAGCATGTCTGTAGTTCTAGACATGTCATGGCATTTCTATAGATTTAAATGAATCCTAAAAAAAGAGGGAGGGGAGAAAAGGGTTGGTATGTGTCTGGAAACATTAGAGATCATGGTGTGGGGCTTGTGAAAACAACTATTCCATATTTGGAAATGGTTATAGAAAAGTATCTTTAAGAGCAGATAGACATTAATAGTGTGAGGGCTTTGGTACACATTATACTTTAAACCTCTCAAATGTTGATCAGTGTTAGTGTTAGCTTGAATTTAGAATAATTCAATGTTCAGGCTAAAAACCTTCTCCTACTGTCCCCAATCTGCACAGATGTGACTGGCTACTAGAGGCTGGTGAGCAGGGGCCTGACTAAGATCTACAGCTGTGAGTTGCCATTACAGGTCTGGCAAGCCAGGACAGGCTCCTTTCCCTGTTCTAGGTGGGGGTGGGTTGCAGAGGTGGTTTGTAGGGAGGGAGCATGAGGCTGGAAGGGGGAGAGTTTTAATGATGGGGACTGGATAGTGAAATGGGAGGTGCAGAGGCAATGAGTGGGAATGGCAGCTGGGGGACTGGGTGGTGAAATTAAGGAAGTAAGATACTGAAGCCACTAAAGGATAAAATAAAAGAAGACAAACAATAAAGTAAAAAGAAAGGGTAGGTAAATTAAAGAAAGTCTCTTATTTTAATAAATTGGAATTGGGACTGGCATTGGCATTGGGCTTGGGATTGGGTAGCCATATCTCACAGGGATATTGTCCTTACCCCAGGATGGAAATCCCGGTCTTGCTCCCTACTTTGCTCCCTTCTCCAGCCCCACTAGCCATCCCTCCCAGACTGGTCTGTGCCCCTGTGAGCTGCCTGCTAAGTCAGACCCCCAGGGAAGGGAGGAGGAGTTAACTTGGTGTCAGCACCACCCCCTAGGCAGTCGAGTTCAGGGGGTGTAAAATTTGTCCATGCAGAACAGGAGGGTCGGGGGAGGGGAAATTGCATCCTGGGATGCTGGAGGACTGAAACTTAGGTGGTTTATCTCTGTGGAGCAGCCACACATTCATGGGACCCAAACTGTGTAACACAGATCAGAGGTAAACCTGCCTTGGAGTGGAGTAACTCTGAGATGCAGAAAGGGTGCTTAAAAGAAGTTTACATGTCTTAACATGCGGACAGTCCAAGGGTTATGAGGTCCCTGTGTTGCTTAAAATTACTATGCAACAAAGCCCTCAGACCTGCAGGTGATGCCTGCCATAGATGTGTGACACTTTTCCCAACTGAAGACCTATTCCTAAAATTTAGAACTACTTTATCCAATATACGTCTCCATGTAAGGAGAAATCCTTGGTCTGTGGAAGTCAGTGGGAAGCCTCCCCAAAAATATGATTCTCATATAAGTCATATTTTTATTCATATTCTTCTAAGACTTAAGGCAAACTCTGACTTGTTTGTTCCAATTAAATCAAGTAAATATTTACATAAAAGGAGGGGGGGGGTTTCCTAATGTTCATGTGTTTTAAGAAAAGCACTATTCTATTTCTTTTACATTAATTTTAATTGGTATTGGTTTTCTTTTCCTGTAAGCATGGGAGTTAATATAAACATAGCCCAAATTTTCATAAAGTCCAGCAGTTTCTGTTTTGCTGGGAAGACAGTAAACTCATCTGTATTGTGTGTCACAACCTGTACCTGGGTCTGGCCATATAGTCACTGTTCAGAAGCTTATACTTCAAATATTTTATAGAAATAGGTGCTCTCTAACCCTTCTACCTGCTTGTGTTTCATAGGAATATCTAATACAATGTAAATTAGTAGAAAAAATGTCCAGTTCCTCCCATCTTAAATGTTAATAAGTAGCTATTATTTTCCTCTTTACAATGAAGAGGTGGCTAAATAAATTGAAATCAACAAGGGGAAAATTTCATAGATTTCATAGATTTCATAGATTAAGGGTCGGAAGGGACCTAGTAGATCTTCTAGCCCGACCCCCCGCCAGGGCGGGAGAACAACAAAAAACCCCAAAAAGAGAAACGGGACTCAAACGAGTCCAGCCAGGTAGGCATTTAATTTTATTCTCTTCTAAACAGGCTTATAAGTATTGTGTGAAAAGGCAAAATGTTTATTATGCACTCTCTTCTCCCCACCCACATTGCCTAAATATAATGGGAGTACTTCAGGTTATGTTCCATTGCCCAAATTTAAGTGACTAGTTAAGCTCCTCCCAAAATAAATTATGCTAGAAATGCTGATGTATCTTTGGTTATGCTGCTACCAGATGCCACAAAAAATCATCTTCTACTAAAATAGAAACTTTTTTATATTGTTGCTTATACTGAGCCTGATCTTATGTCATAACCTTTTCTTTTTTTCCTTTTCTATTTGTACACAATCCTGAGATATAGGCTGGCTTCCCTAGCCTAGGTTCTCCAACCAATATTTTGTATTTATTTAGGTGGGGAGTTTTTCCATTGGTTTCAATGGAAACAGGATCAAGCCCTTAAAATGTTTCCTCAGAATTCGCTGCTTGATGCCTTTAAAGAATAAGGTTGTCATAATTATGAAGTAGAAAATTATAAAACAATACAGGAAGAAACCCTGTGTTCAGAGTTCACTAATGCATTCTGTGTTTTGTGTATTTAATACCTAACCTCTCATTCTGCAATGACTTACACATGTACCTTGATTCTGAATGCATAAGTTGAATCCAGGTTTTGGAACTTTGCCTTTACCACAAAGTAAAATAGCTTATCAAGGCTTGTAATTGGGATGGTGGATTTTTGGAGGAGATTCATTTTCAGTGTAATGAATAATGGTATGCTAGTGAGAATGAACAATGAGTAGTATTTATCACAAGTGGTTTAAAAACAATTAAGTCATTTCCACTGAGAAAATAAGTCCATATGGGATGGGAATTTCATAATGCAAAAAGTAAACAGAGCCATAATTATACGTATAATTGAACAGATGCATTCTGAGATAGAAATAGTGACTGAACACATTCAAATGCTCAGACCCCTTTTACTGTTCCAACAGTATAAAGGGCCTGTCATGAATTGCCACTTTTGAAGGCACATTTATCCTGGTAAAAGTGGGCCTTAGCATCAAAGCAAATAATACCTTGCATTCTTTTCTCCAACAACAGATTGTCAAAAAGCAGCACATCTCTGGTGGTAAAACTTTTTCAAAGGCACTGGATTTATTAACTAAACATGTCAATCAATAAATATTGCCTTCTTGTCCTGGATTTAGATTTCTGTCCAGCAACTTCCAATGACACTTGGAATGTGTCTGAACTGCACAATGCAGAGCAGTATAGAAATGTTCGAGTTATTTCTGCATGAGCTAACTCAGGTACCAGCAGAAGTATAGTTACAGGTCATATATTGCTGCTGGTACCTGAGTTAACTCATGTAGAAATAACTTGAACATTTCTATACTACTCTGCATTGTGTAGTTCAGACACATTCCAAGCGTCATTGGAAATTGCTGGACAGAAATCTAAATCCAGGACAAGAAGGCAATATTTATTGATTGACATGTTTAGTTAATCAGAACTCTGTACCAACAGGGGTTTACTGCCACTGGGTGCATCTGCACATAGGCTTTAGCCTATTTTAATGAGCATTAAAGCATCACAAAAAACCGTGCTCTTTCACTAGTACACATTAAAAATATCCTAACATGCCTTTTTTTAGTACCTCACAATGGAGGTACTAAATTTAATGCACAGTACCAAAAGTGCATTAATGAACTTGTAGATGTGTTCTAATGCCTACGATAGAGGTAGGGTGGGTATGTTTACATCTCACTACATGGTACAAAATAGACACGGCCTTGATCATAAATGTAACAATTTTGAGGAGTACTTAAGCTATAGTAACAGAAGAGTGCTTTACAGGAAGACAGTAACTAGTACAGTAAAAGTTCTTTATTAAATCAGTTTGGCACACTGAGAGAGGAAACATATACCAAGAATATCCCTATTAACTGACAGTTCATCCATAACAGATTATTATTATTTGTAAAATGCTAGCACTGTCATAAATGAATCCCAGTGTTTATTGTCTAGTAGACAAACATAAAAAGATAGTCTATGGTAGGAAGCCCAGAGGCAGAAGTTGTCTTAAATAAAGAGTTTTTTCTTTTTTCCTTTTTTTAAACAGTAAGGCATCTCTTTCTCTCTTTTGGTAACCCACTCAGTATGTAAATAACATTTATGGTCTGTCTTAAACCTAAATGAAAAGGCAGCAAGGCTAAGAGGTAAGGCTAAAAATCCTAACTCATGTTTTGGGTCAGATTTTACCCTTGTATGCACACAGCCCTCATTGAGGATACAACACATGTGGCTATCATTTGTGCTCTTAGACACATGCTGCTGCAGTCCCTGAAGGCAACATTTGCTTCCCTCTGTGCCCAATTCCCTCTCTGGGCAAAACTCCTGGTGATTTCATTTGGATTTTGGTCAGAGTAAGGTTGTTGATCCTGGACCCTCGGAGATGCATTCTTTTTTAAATCGTGAGCATTGGGTTTCACTGATGTTACAAGATCCTATGCGTAATCCTCAGAGACCAAAGCTGTCCGGAGAGGTCCATTATAAGCCCTAAGGCTGCTGTAACTTACTCGAGGAATGTATGTAACAACATTCCTTCAAAATCTAGAAAGCTGTTTCATATTTCTTTGGGTTGTTGTTTAGAATCTGTTATTCTGTAAGGGTATTCTTTCTGCTCTGTTCTTTGATTTGACAGTGTAATGCCACATTGTTAGCATACCATAGCTAACTGGAGAATGTATTGTGGTTTATGTTTGTCAAGTCATAGGAAGTGAATACACATATAAAATACACATGGCATGATTTACTGATGCCTGAATTAACTCAGTATTATAAAATTATAAAAACACCTTCCTCATTTACTGTGGTAGATACACTGATATCCAGGGATACAAAAATGAGAGTGGATTTGGCCCACATTGTTTTAATTTTAATGTGGCTAATAGAGAAAAAAGACCATTATATAACACGCTAACAATTTATATTAAAATCAAGAATGATTTCATTGGTGTCATCTGAAGAACTATCATAGTAAAAGCAAGAAATCTAAATAGCTGTTTCTTGATTTAGGATTCCTTATGATATTTCCCCTGAGTTTTTATGCCAGACTAATGGACATTTACAAATTCTTCTCTTCAGGATTACCGAGTTAATATCTTCCTAAGACAGAAGTGGAATGACCCCAGACTTAAACTGCCCAATGACTGGAGGGGTTCTGATACCCTAACAGTGGATCCCACAATGTTTAAATGTCTCTGGAAACCAGATCTGTTCTTTGCAAATGAAAAGAATGCCAACTTCCATGACGTCACTCAAGAAAATATTCTTCTTTTTATATTTCGGGATGGAGATGTCCTAGTCAGCATGAGGTATTGTGGTATTTTTAATGATAAATACTTATCTTTTTTCAGTAGATAAGGATATCATCTTCCTGCATAAACAGATTCATATGAGATGCATATAACTTTAATGCTTAGTAATATGTATAATTTACATGTGAGAGACATGGATTTTTGTGAGTGATATCTTTTATTGGACCAACTTGCGTGTCAGTAATCTGATAACATCTCTTATTACCAGTTTCAATTTATGTATGGAGTGTTTCATAAGCCTTTGTTCTAGCTGCTATTTAGCTCTGTTGCATCTACCTTTTTCTCAGACACCTGAGGAAGGGTGCAGTGGTACCTGAAAACTCATATGTGTCCCTCCCAACTATACAGTTGGCTCAATAAATGCTATCACCCACAAAAATCCTTGCCTCTCATCTTTTTCCTGGATCCTCACAGCTATGTCACCCCAACATTATCATTTGCATGATCATATTTATAGCTGATATTAAATAAATTGTACATAAATGATTCAGAGAAAATTCTCATAAAACCATAGATTCTAAAGCATAATGATATTTTTACTAACATCAAGGTCTTTAAAGAATATATTTGCATTAGATCATTAGAGATGGAAATGACATATAAACCAGTATAAAAGACTGGAAGCTGGTTCAAATCTGTAATACAACACAAGTTTAGTGCATATATACTGCTTTCGAAATGTCCAAAACCAGTTTAAGATCAACCTGGTGTGGTCACTTTCTCTTTGGCAATTGCCAGGAAAAGATGCTCCTGAACAAGAGAATGACCCAATGCATCTGGCTGCCTGCTTTGCTACCTGCAAATGCAGTAAGACTCTAGGGGCTTATAAGGTGCCCAGAGATAAAGTGGTCTGGTATTTTAAGGGTGGGAGTCGGCCCTCTTAAAAGGGCAGAGTGCTGCCTTTATTATTAATGTTATGTTGTAGCCCAGGGGCTTAGGTTTGTGTTATTGTTTGAACTGGTGGACCAGGAAGAGACTAAATAGGGGAGGAGGAGGCCTCATTGGGGTGCATGATTGTGTAGAGCCCCAGGACCAGAGCAGTGCAGTCTCAAGGGCTGTGGAGAGCCCAGCACCAGGGAGGGCACAGCAAGAGGGCTGTGGAGAGCTCAGCACCGGGGGGTGTAAGCTGGAAGGGACTGGAGAGCCCAGTGCCAGATGGGCAT